AGAGGCACCAGGGACCAGTGAATGTTTGGTCTGTTTTTCTCCCTCACGGGCCCTTCCTTGCACATCTGCCTTGGCTATACATGAATATTCTTGGCACTTTTGTACCCAAGAGTAAAACTCAAGTTGATTCCTTTAGTGGAAAATTCTTTGATTAAATACTGCATTGCCTTAACACACTTTCAGCCAACATCTTTTCAGACTGAAGTAACAAGAATAAAGGTCACCAGCGTCTCACAGGAGATGGCTGAGGAAATGTTAAAGACTTCTTCCTTGACTAATAAATGGGGCAACAGGCCTCAAGGAACATGACGAGCGAAGAACAAGGTCACATGCCAATTGGTGAGGACTCAAGCCCAGGGCCTTCTATCCCCCCTCCCTGCCTTTTTTGGAAGGCTGCCACCACTAGCATGGGACAGGGGGATGGCAGCCTGGGCAAGCTGTCCAAGTGTGTGCTCTCTACAACTGCCCAGGGCAAGAGGTGAGAGGCCAGAACGATCCAGAGATTTGTCTTTAGGAAGGGTCCTGTTCAACCGGATCCAACAAGGCACCCTCACACATGGCCCTGTCCTGGCTGCTATGGGGAGCCTAGTGAGGGCCATGAGTGCCCTCCCACTGACAGAAGGAGCACATTCCAGGTTGATACTAATAGCTTCCATGTCAGCTGGAGGGGGGAGGGGTGGTCACAAAGGCAGAGAGCCGAAGACCCAGGGCTCCTTGACCCCTCATAGCACCCCCAACCCTACTGTTTGTGTCCCTTTCCTAGATTCCCAAAGGGAGACAGGCAGACATGGAACCTCCGGCTACTTGGCATTACCTGACCAGGATGTACAATGAACAGAATGTACATATTCTGTTCACCAGCACTGGCTTGCTAAATCACCATTGTCACTTCTGAGTCCTTTGTCCTCGTTCCCAGTGAGCTACACAGGGTAGTGGCCTCCTCCACCTCCCTGCTGCTCACTGTGATGGAAACTGGAGCTCTCAAGACTGTTTTAGGGTTTGCTTACAGCGATTCAGTCTTAAAACCCTCCCTTGGTGCCCCCCCCAATTGTCAGTGCTCTAGTTTTAAACAGGGGGGTCTATTTCTAAGGCAGCAAACACTAGTGGTCCTTCATTTTACTTTTCAGTTCACCTCTATCTGTGAGCAAGATGCTGAATTAGATGGCAAAAAAGCAACATCTCATTTATTACTTCACTGCTCAAATATTCACACTTCATCTTCAGGTCTGAGAGCTAGTCCTCCCAGGTCAGTATCAGCTCCTTCCTGAGACCCTCAGAAACCCCGACTCCACCAGCGCTTAGTCATGGGTCTCTAGGACAACCTGACTGATAAATACTGTCCCCTTTCTCTTTGGCCTGGAGGGCACCGAGATGGTGGAATCTGTCCACTGTGGTCGCAGGGTCTCACCACACATGAGACTCTAACAAAAATTGGAGAACAGTAGGGCAGACCTCCTGAACAGGACTCATGGGCCACGCCCTCTAGAGACCCAGTCTCTAAGAGAACATGCCTTAAGAGACAGCATTCATGATAGCTAAATGATGGGCTGTAGGCAAGCTTTCACCAACAGAGAAGGAAGAAATGAAGGTCATGTCTCATGTAGGGCAAAGTACCCTGCCACCAACTCAGCCCAGATCACTGGGGCTGGGGAAACTTCTTTGTTCCACAGTTTACCTATCAGGAAAGTGACAGCAGAGGCAGGGCACCTTCTCAGAGCCACAGTGGCAGCAAGAGTGCAGTGTGATGCCCGAGGAAGGGCCTGCTGCCTCTCTTCTGCACAGGAATAGCTTCTTTTTTGTTTTCCTGAAAGATAGTTCAGGGAGAGGGGTGGCATCCTAGGTGACGTGGGAGCCCTGTGGGCAGACAGAACCCCCACAAGGCAAGCACCCTGTGAAGGATGGGCTCATCAGCACCCTACTGGAAGGACCACAAATCTTTTGGAGGGAGGGTTATATGTGACTTTCAAGCACATGACCTAAAACAGAAAGCTGCTTTCCAAGGGAGAGCAAAATAAGCAATGATCTTGGCTTCATTTGTGATCCAGGTGCCTCCACAGGAGGGGGACACAGAAAGACTCTGCTTGTTTGGTTTGTTTTTGGAAGCTGTGGATGTCTGTTTTGCTAAGTCTCCCCACTAGGTTAGAATCGGGAAGTCCTGGAGGGTCAGGCCTGCTTGTCCTGAAATCCCCAGCAAGCCTAGTACAGGGTCTCTGCTTGTTGAACAAACTGGCTCTTCCCTATGCCCAGCTCCTCAGCATGTCAAGCTCTGCAGAACCCCAACAGCCACACACAGCAAAGACCGCAAGAGGCAAGAACAACACAAAGCAGACAGAGAAGACATCCCAAGAATGGTCACTGCAACTTTTCAAAGGACACCCCTCTAAAACAGACACATCTTTGGTAATTTTGTTTTATATTAGATAAGGTCTCACTCTGTAGCTCAGGCTGGCCTAGAACTCAGAGCAATCCTCCTGCCTCAGCTTCCTGAGTGCTAGGATTATAGGTATGACACCTGACTCTTAAAGGTTATAATCAAGAAGAAAGTATGGACCAGAAATTCCAGCAATGGGAAAGAAAGAAAGAAAGAAAGAAAGAAAGAAAGAAAGAAAGAAAAGGCAGAAGAGCAGGGATAAATCCACATAGCTTTCCCACAATAAGGAAAAGTCTACGTAGGTCAACATGAACTTCTCTAGTCACCAAACCATCCTCAGGCAGTGTTTCTATTCTGCTTTTTCAGAGGGAGGAGACTTGGACATGGATGCCCAGCACAAGGTCCTGACATGCAGCCACAACTGAGTGTCTGTCCCAGGTCACAGCCGCAGTTAATGCGTGTACATCTACAGCAAAGGACTGCATCCCTTGTGCTTCTAGCTATCACCCAGGATATGCTGGGTGGATGGCAAGCCTTATTTATTTTTTTCAGTAGAAATGCTATGAAGGGTTTCACTTATTTTTACTTCAAAAGCAGCTCCATAAAAGTCCTTGATGATTTGAACCCCAGTTGTCCTAAGTTGTTATCAAGGGACCCATTACTCAATCTTCTATGGAGCAAACAGTTTCAGGTGGGAAGCCACGGGAGCTGAGAAGTACAAATGTCTCATCTCTGAACACTTTCAGACTCCCTCCTGTTCACTGCCTCGGTTGCCCCTGCCCCTCCCCTAGCCCCACCATCTGCTCTCCAGAGAACAGATCAAATTCTCTAGCTAAGGTACCCTGCCCCCCCCACCAACTCAGAAATCCAACACCGTGACCCAAATGGACTGCAGCCACATAAAACCATGAAGTAAAGTTTATAAAGCTTTATTAAACATTTCAAACAGCTGTAGAATGAACACACCAGAAAAAAAGCTTTACAACAGCAGTCCGAGTGTTTCACAAGTGTGGCCTCGAAGTCCCACTCCCCAGATGTGCTCGAAGTTCAGGGCCTGGCCCACCACCCTCACTGGCACACGAGAGAGGACATTTCCGACTGGAAGAACAACCACGCTGATCCCCAGCGGGCAGGGGCCAGGAGAAAGTCTCATTTGCCAACACTTGTTACTGAAGCGCAGAGAAAATGAAACAAGTACCAAGTCTTCCTGTGTATTCTTCATAGTGAACAGTCTACGAGCGCAGGAAGGAAGAGGCTCCTGGCGGGAAGATGATGGCCACTGCTCCCTGGGTCTTGTCTGAACCACCTTGGAGTCGACTGTGCTGGTCACTCTGCAATCCCCATGCTAAATAAAAACTGCAGTGGGACCTACTACAGCTAGCTACTACTAACCCTCAAAATCAGAACACATTCAGTAAAGCTTCTTCAAAAGGAATATACACATGTATTTGTACGTACACACACACACACACACACACACACATTCTCACACGCGTGCGTTCACACATATACAGAGCACATCAAAAATTACCCAAACACCTATCAAGGGAATCATGGCTGCTATGAAACACATAATACTTTCCTGTTCCCTCAGCTGGGGACCACTGGGTCTATAAGAATACTGCATACCTCCCTCCTGAAGAGCATGCACTGGAGACAAGAGGCGGCCCCCTAAGGACGACTGAGAGAGGCAGGAAGAAGAAAAGAGCAAAGGGAGAGAGGATGGGTTGGAAGGCGAGAGCCCAGACACCTAGGCCAAAGAACAATGTCTCTCCATTGCTTCTTTCTTAAAAATGAGGCAGAGAAAACACTGGAGGTTTGTGGACAACGAGCAGTTGAGACATGACTCCGTCTCACCTGCTCAACAGGGAAAGAAGGGTGAAAAAGCGAGGCTCTCGGGCATCAGCAATCTCTTCAAATTTGAGATAAGTGCAAAAACAAGCCCTGTCTTGGACAGGTGCTCCCCACAAAAGGAAAGGGGTGGGAAAGAACCCAGGGGAAACCAGGAAAAGGGACTGAGGAGGGACGGAGGAAGACCCTGACGAGGAGGGGTCGTGGAGGTGACAATGAGACTACCATTGTGTCTGCCCATGTCATACCAAGGGTGGTTGACTAGGATGGGTGGAGACTCCCCAAAAAACGATGAGCAAGGGGGTGGGCCGATCCATCAGCCGGGACCCAGATGGTGACAGAATACACAACCATAAGACCACCCATAACTACAGAACACTACAATAGAAGCACCGGTCAGTGCCATTATTCACATTATAAGGATAAAACATCACAGGCCAAAAGGCTCCATTAGGAATGTGGCACCCGCAGGGCTGCGGGATTTGAAACTCCAATGCTTTATGACCTATGTCAATGTCTCCCCTCCCGTCTTCTGCTTCCTCAGAAAGCTATTTCGGCAGCTGTTAGGTGCCCACAACACCAGGGTCATGGGCTGATTCCGGAAGTGGGGAATCGGAGCAGTGGTACAGGAAACAATTTCCCCAGCAGCTATAACAGATAAGGAAGAGGGCTGCCAGGAAAACCAAGGCACATATTGTGCAGGGTTTCCGTTCCAGGAGGAAGCTGAGCAGGTAGAAGCCCATGAACATGGAGTGGCTGAACCACAGAGCGGGGTTGAGGGGCTTGGGGATGAGGAGGACGGGCAGCAGCCACTGGAGGCAATACATGATCTCTGCCGGGCAGGGCCTTCACCAAGGCTGCCAAGCACCGCTGCAGGAACCGACCTAATGGGAGCCAGCAGGCAAGGTGGCTGCCCTCCGTTTTCTTCGACTCTCTCTCCAGGAGCTGAGCCGCTGTGCTCTCTGGCTGTCAGCCCGGGATCACCAAGGCAGCAAGGATCCTGAAGAGAAAAGTCAACACAACAAAGAACAGACAGACAGACAAAAACAAAAAACAAACAAACAGACAAACAAACAAAAAAACAGGAACAAAATGTATACTTATTTGGGAAAATGGATCATGGTTAACAACAGCAAATGTGATTGCCCTTTCCTCCCCACCCACCCATGAGAATTTACTCCTATCCAAATTACTAGTTTAAGACAGCCTCTTGGGGTGTGTCTTCCCTGGGCTTCTATTGGGGGCTCCCAGGAGGGCACGGTCCCCACAGTGGACTGGCTTTGCCTGGGCCCTGCCCAGCAGAGATCATGTATCGCCTCCTGGGGCTGCGGCCCGTCCTCAAAGGTCCCAGACCTCACAATACCGCCCTGTGGTTGCCACAGGACACCATGAACTTGGTGTTGTGCCCCCATGTGGTAAGAAATGGCTCTGTAGCTTGTCTCACATCTGCAGCTCCAGCAGTTATCTGGGAACTGCAACCTGGATATGCAAGACAGTAGATACTCAGATACTGGCAACCTATGGACAGGCACAGTAAAGTGGCAGCAAATATTTTAAGATGACAGCTTAGGCCATGCTTGCTTCTTACAAATAGTCCAGTATCATTTAGCCCAAACCAGCCAACTTCTTTGAAAGTCAATGTTAAAAAAACAAAACAAAAAACCCACACACAAAACCACAACACTTGGAACCCTAAACCTTCATCTGTTACTGACATTGAACAGAACCATGTCTCTGTAAGTTTTTAATCAAAATTAATATCCTATCCACATAGGGGCAAATACATTTGGCCTCTGTGCCAAGCAGCTTGATGGCAATTTGGTCTTTCCACCTTAACCATGCTCCACTAGAGATTTATAAGAGCACACTAAGAGAGGGTACATTGCTTTACTTTAAAACTAGGCGACAGTAGCCATATTAAGACAGAACCCTTGGCGGCTATAACAAAATCCCGTTCTGTGCTCCAGCCATGAAGCAAACATACAAAGAACCACCATGGCTCAGGCAGACAGGCCTACTACGGGTTGGGGGAGGGGAGTACAAGAGAAAGATGGATATCATCTGTCCCACAGAAAACTAGTTCCAAATACATTTGGACCATTTCTCCATAAATCTCGCTCCGTTGGCGCACACAAATCCTTCCATCCTTCCCAGAGGAGATACAACCGCTTCAGCTACTAAGCGCTGGTCCAGTTCAGGACCGCAGGCTATTATTGCCTGCTAGGCAGAGCAGGAAAGCAACAGTCAGGAAAAGTGGTACACGACCAATGACTCTCACAAAACAGTAGGCAGTTAAAATTCACTGAATATAGAAAGAGGTATACTTTTTGCTTTCAGAGATAGCCTTCCGTAACTTCGGTTTCCCAACAGTACTGGAGGTATATTTTAGCGTGGCACTGGTTATGCGGCTCGAAATTGCAGACTTGGGTATGTCATACCAAAAGTCTTGCACCCCTACCCTCACTCTACACCCTACAGCCATGACCATGACTCTCTCCATTTTACACTGAATTTCAAAAGCGGGTAAAGCAGAATCTTCTGGAAGGGTGTTACAAGCCAGCAGATTCGGGAGGTGGGGGGTTGGTGTGGAAAGAACAGACGGATTTTTTTTCTCTCCTGGCGAATGAGGATCGCCCCCCCCAAGCGCATGCGCACTTAGGTGGCAGGAGGGTACTTAAAGATGCAGCAGTGCGCCCCCTCTCGACCACCCACTCTTGGAACCATGGCCGCAGTGGTAGCAGCTTCCGCAGAACTGCTCATCATTGGTTGGTACATCTTCCGTGTGCTGCTGCAGGTGAGTATAAGCCCAGGCTTTGGGTGGGAGAGGGCACCCGAAGCGCGCCCTGGACCCCTAACCCCCGTCGCGATTGCCGCCTTCCCAACTCATTCTATCCCAATTGCCACGATTCCTGTCTACCAAAGTGCGCGGTGGTACTATTTGTCCCTCCCTGCCCGTTCCCGTGCTCACATCCTCGCACAGACCCTGTCCCCAGTGCGCCAGCGCCCAGCCGGGAACAAAGACTCAGACGAGCGCGACCAACGCGGTAAGAAACACACGTTATACTCAGACTCGACCCAGGAGGGAGGCGGGGCACTTGTGTGCTGTGAGACTTTACAGCTCACCCACAGAAAATTTTCGCCTTAAAAATTTGCGCATTGCGGGAAATTTTCTTTTAAAATACACTATATACACATACAACACTTGTGAGGTGGTATGAAAAATAAGTAGAAAATGTCACTTTCGGGGAAAAAACACTCAACAAAAAAAACTCAATAAATTAGGGGGAAAATAAAGGTAATAGAGAAAACACGCATTGCAGGAAACATAAACCAGACAAAGGTACTTGGTAGTAAAAAAAAAAAAAAAAAAAAAAAAAAAAAATTAGATAAAGAGCACTGGAAGTGAGACAAAGGGACAGAAAATAAAAAAAAAAAACTGGATACACACCTTGAATAAAACAATTAGAGGAAAATGCCCTTTGCGGGAAAAAAATGAAAAAGGGAAAGAGAGCCTCCCCAAAAGGGCAAACCATTGTATGGAAAAACAGAGCGCGCGCGCAAAAGTGCTTTTCTTAAAGCCAAATTGGAAGAAGGCGCTTTGTGCACAAAAAACTATCTATCCCGAGAGCTCCCTTTGCAGGAAGAGATGCCTGCTAAAGGAATCCTTTGCCAAAGGAATCGCGTATTTCCTTCAAGGTGTTCCTGGAATGCTGCATTTACTGGGTAGGATTCGCTTTTCGAAATCCTCCAGGGACACAGCCCATTGCGAGAAGTGAGGTATACCTAAGTTGTGGGTCCAATCAGCTTGCAGCCATGCAGCTCTCAGCACAGTTGGAAAGCTCCAGCTGCCCTGACTCGTGGACAAGCTGGGCCGTGCCCGCCACTCCAGGCTATACTGGACAGACGGGCGGGGCCGGGGCCGGGGCTAGGGTGGGCACACAGCAGATCAGCAAACAGCAGTACCAGTGATCTACACTGAGTCACAGGTCTTTCTCTAAGGTTGGGTCCTGGATCTCTCACCGCAGGTATTCAGGTACTCCCTGCAGAAGCTGGCACACACGGTGTCCCGGACCGGGCGGCAGGTGCTGGGGGAGCGCAGGCAGCGAGCCCCCAACTGAGGCCCCAGATCCCAGCCCTGGGCGGCTGCATCATCAGGTGCTCCTGTGCTTCTAGACCAACATGGGAGCCAGTGCCGCGCAGGAATGGGGGGTCTCCTGTGCTCTCTCGTCAGAGGAGCACTTGCCAAGGTCAGTGAGGGGCCGGTAGGCCCCTGGAGAAGCAGCACCGACAAATGAGGAAGATATGAGTTCCCTTCCCAGCCCCTTTGGCCCCCTCCCACTACTGGTGAGTGGGAAAGGAGGAGAAAGAAGGGAGCAAACCCTCAAGATCTGGGCGTAGGCACCACATTCTAATCTGGACCAAGTCGGAACAGCGCCATCTCAGCCACAAGAGGTCCTACCAGAGATCCAATACCCCACCAACCAGCAGAATGGACATTCTGACATCACCAGCTGAAGCCCTGAATCTCGGCGCAGAAGAGAAAACATCAACTGTGTGCCACATGGCAGGACTGGAGGGCGTGGGTGAGGGAGGAAGAGGGTTTAGAAATTCAGTGGGGCCCTCTTACTGTCCCTTGCCTGTGGCACACACATTCCTGACTTGCTCCCTCATTCCCCCTTTTCCCTGCCTTTCAAACCCCTCCCCAAAATGTGGCACTTGATTCGGACCTGTCTAACCAATAACTGAATCCCACCTTCACCAAAACACCTTCTCCGGCCCCTGGGCCTTCACTGATCTTGCTATCCCTGGTCTCATGTAGCAGTTGTGGTCAATATTGTGGTAGTCGCTAATAGTACTAGTTTAAGTGTGCATTAGTGTCTCCCCAGCTGGATTGTAAGCTCCTGGAGATCAGGGACCATCTCCACAAGAAATAAAAAAAGGACCCCCTCCTGTCTTGTACAGTGTCCTAGGACCGTGCAGGGCAGTGGGGGTGCACCAAAAGTTCCTTTGTGGCTGGTTTCCTTTGCAACATCATCACATGTCTCTAAGGATGGGCAATGTACCCATTATGGAGGGGCACACCACTTGGGAAAGGGAGGAGGGGGGAACAAGAAGACATGAATGAATGCTCTACCTGCCTCATTTTAATACTGTCCTGAAATAAAGGACTATTTCTCATCCCCGACCAAAAAGTGGTTTTCATTTGTCCCAGAATAAAGGACACTTCATTTCCCCTTCCCCAGGATGATGGGTGGTCCTGAGATAAGGTACCATGTCAGATTCTCAATTTGGGAAAGTAAATAAAAATGGCCCACTAAATGGGATCCTGAGGACCATAAGGGCTGATCTGAGAATATAAAGTTATATCCCAGAACTCCACCCCAGAGCCCCAAGAAATGATTGCTGGGCAGGAGAGGGGGCACTGCCTTAGACAAAGCCATGACCTGGCAACTCCTCCACCCAGCTCAATGCTTCAGGCCTCAGGATCACCCCCATGTCATCTTGCCTGGCTCTTCCACCCTCCAGCTGGACCCCTCCCCCCAACTTTCTCCATGTATCCTAAACAGCCTTATCAGGTTGTTAGTCCCTTTCATTGCATCAGGGAGGGTGGGCTGGTCTCGTGGTAGCACCCCCCACCCCGTTAGCCATGACTCTGCTCACAAGTGTCAGCTGACTGCCTCACCAAATGGTTCTGCCACCTGTTAAGCACATCTCTGATTTTATCTTTCCCTGTCACTGCACCTGTTCCTATGTCAATACTAAAGGAATGAGTTGGAAGGCCATCTATCTCTCCCTACCTCCTTAAATCCCTTAGTCATGGCTGTCACATCACAAATAATTCAGGCACACAAAGCACCTTGACCCCCTGGAACCTTGATCATATCTCTATCCCCAAAGAAAGCCTGACTTTCAGGCCAGTCATTGGCACTTTGGAAAATACCAGGGAATTATGGGGGGGGGGCAAGTAGAGCAAAACTTGCTGTGGCCTTGGCTTTACCATCCATCAAATCTGCCAGGTTGCTTTTAGTTCCCTACTAAGGTCCAGGTGAACCCCACACACAGAGACAGTCAGGATTCCACGGGACCTGGGTGTGACATGCATTCTAAGATTCCATCTTCCTCAGGAGGGTGGATACAGCTGCTGCCGTCCTTCGCCCTAGGGTTATTCATCTACATTCAGCACCTACCTCCTTTGTGACTGTAAATTTCTGTAGTTTGCCATACTAAACCCATTGAGGACATATCAATGCAGGCCCCCAATGAAGGCTGACTCTCCCTTTGGAGACTGGGAGGAAGGGGGGCACTGTCAGTCTATTGCTCATATGTTCCAACCTTAGCACAAGTTAGATGCCAGCTGAGTTTACAAAGACAGGCCAAGGCAGGGAGGAAGGAGTCTGGCTACTTTGGACACAGCACCTTTTGTCCCCTTACTTGCAAGCCAGGAGACTACTGGTAACCCCAGGGCTTTCCAGATGAAAGTTTTTTCCTCTATCTACCCTCCAGCAGTGCTGAGTGTGGTTTAGTTAGGTAGACTTCTTGGCAAGGGCTCTGCTGGCTCTTAGAATGTGCAATGTTCACTATCCACTTTTTTCTCCCACCCCACACTCTGCTGTCCTGACAGCAAACTAAACCCACCAGAGAAGGCAGAAGGAACATGTTCAGGTCCCATCCTTGTGTTACATCTGCAAGCCTGATCCAAATATATCTTATTTATAAAATGTTTCCACAAGTATATACTATTTAAACATTTTATTCTCACATAAAACAATGGGTGTGTTCTTTATTGCAAAACCCTTAGTACAGAGCTAGATATCTCTTTTTCCTAAAGAGGCTGCCACCTCCAAGCAGGGATAAAGGCAGAGCAGACGAGTTGTGAGGGAAGTAGAATAGCTTTATGGGAATCTAGCAACACATGAAGATTCCAGGGACTAATGCTAGAGAAGGCTACTTCTTGGCCTGACCCATTCAAATTCAGTAGGGTTGAGGTCACTAAATACCAAAACATTTAGAGATGTGGTTCTAGGTGACTGTTACCTCTATCTGTAGAGTGACTGAGTTGTGACTGAAAGAAGGGTTTGAGTTTTTTGGCTTGGGCTATGGGACCAGCCAAAGATAGACTCATTCCACTGGGGCTCTGAGGCAAGCAGGCTTGCTGTTGGCCACTTCCTAGATATCTACTTTCAAATATGAATCTCTGCTGACTGCCAGCTGAGACTCTCCCTTTGCAGTCAATCTCCCCCAGGAGATTTAAATGATCTCACTCTCTCTCTCTCTCTCTCTCTAAATAAACATTGTCTCTCTAAATGAACATACTCTCTCCCTCCCTCCCAGTCTATCAAAGTTTTAAATGTGCACGCACACTCTCTACTGGCCTAAATTTTAAATGTGTGTGTGTTCACGTGTACACACACACACACACACACACACACAATCTCTCTCTCTACTGGTCTATCAAAGTCTCTTTTTCCAGGTGATCACTGACTTCTTCCGCTTGCCAGAGACACATTCACCACAATCTTCTCTGGAAATCATCCTGTCCCCCTTCCACGGGGCTCATACCACAAGCAGAATATGTATTCCTGAACATTCTCAGGGCAGAGCCAGAAGACAGAGAGGAAGGCGATATATGGCTCTTAGTAGATCATACGGCGACAAGCTTGCAATGACATGCATGTGCTTCCAAGACAGAGAACAAGAATAGAGGGCAGCCTAACTCTGATTCCCTTAGAAACAACAGATAAGAAGTTAAACTGTCTTGGCAGCAACTTGAAGATGCTCATTTTCAGATACAGAATTGATCTTGTCCCTGGAAACTCACCAAGGTTCCAGACACCCAATCTCTGAATAGGAATTCTTGACATTAATGAATTGTGATTTAAAAGAAACAAGTAAGCTTGCTCTAACACTTGGCATGAGCACATAAAATGAAACTTTTTTGGGTCCTGGCTTTGGTGTTGAAGTCCAGTAGGCTGACAGGATGGTTGAACCATGTCAGGCAGAGCAGAGAAGCCGTCCCAATACATCAGTTCCCTGAAAGGGACAAAAGAAGATCCGAACCTATAAACAGAAAGAACCTATAAACCAGAACAGGTCCCAGTTTCCCAAGTAAAAAGGGACATGGGACCCAGAAGGAAACTAAAGGTGGTTTGGAAGAAGGAAGGAAAAAAAAAAAAAAAAAAAAAATCGATTGTCCCCATCCCCCATTCTTCCTTTCCAGGCCAAGGCGAGTGTGACAGGCATTCCATTCCTTCTGCTGCCCTCGAGGGCCACTCCCCACACACCGGAGGAGAGGGAACAGGTGTCCAGAATCGATGAAAAGTTGGTGGGAGAAGGATCCGAGACCCGAAGCAGATGGTCACCTTTTTACTCCAGATACCAAAGAGAAGGTTGGGGGCCGGGTTCTCCCTTCTCTTTACACTTCTTTGGACGGGGTGGGGTGGGGGGGAGAGAGTGAACAAAGTGGCGAGGAAAGAGTGGCCGGCCTCTCAAAAGCTGAGCCCCTTGCCAAGGGTCCGAGCAGAGGAGGTGGTGGTCGCGCCCCGCTGTCCCAGTCCCATCCCAGGACCTCGCTGACCTTGGAGGCCAGAGTAATAGCCAGGAGCCCCGGAACTCCCCCTCGGGACGAGAAGGGGACCCTCCCCCCAAGGTCCAGGTTAGGAAGAAGCGGGGCGATCGCCCGGTGCCAGGCAAGGGTACGCCCTCCCCCGGCCGCGCGGAAGGAAAGCCCGGCGAGAGGCCAAGCGGCGCCTAAGGTGACCCCGGAAGGCCAACATGGCGCCGCAGCCGCGTCGAGGACCTCTCACCCTGCCCAGGCGGGCGACGCCACGATACCTGCGAGCCCCGCCATGGCGCTGCCGCCACTGTCGCCGTCGCTGCCGCAGCCTGCCTCCACCTTAGCTCGCCACCGACGCCGCAGAAGCTGGGGAGACGCCCCCTTCGTCTTCTAGTCGAGCGGTCCAAGGACCCCGTCCGGAATGAGGCTGTCCGCTGCGGACGCCTGACACACAGTCCCAAAGCGGGGCTATTCTCGGGCACTCTTCCCTCAGTATCCGGCAAGAAATGTCTTTCATAAGCTTAATGTGAACGTAAATAAAATTAGGGAACGCTAAGTTCTTCAAGCGGGAGGAATTTTCAATCAGGCGTAGTTTGGGTAGCCCCGAACCTCTGGCCTATGGTCCCCCTTATGCATATGCAGCAGATTGTGATCCTTATTCTTTCAGAGCGGGGCGGGCTGGCGTCGCTTAGTTGCGCTGA